GGTATCTACACAAAGGAAAATAAACCATTATATCAAAGAGACACCTGCACTAAAATGTTTATTCATAGCACAATTCACAATAGCAAAGATATAGAATCAATTTAAGTGTCAATCAAGGGATGACTGGATAAAGAAAATGCGACACACATACACACACATATACACACCATGGAATGTATACCATGGAATACTACTTAGCCATAGAAAATAATGAAATCATGTATTTTGCAACTACATGAATGGAAATGGAGGCCATTATCTTAAGTGAAATAACTCAGAAATAGAAAGTCAAATACCACACGTTTTCACTTATAAGTGGCAGCTAAATAATGTGTATACATGGGCACAGACAGTAGAATGACAGACATTGGAGACTCAGAAGGGTGGGAAGGTGGTAAGGGATAAGAAATTACTTAATGGGTAGAATGTACACAATTCAGGTAATGGCTAAACTATAAGCCCAGATGTCACCACTATGCAATACACCCATGTAAACAAAACTCGGAGGGGGAGGAGGGGGAGAGGGGAGGAGGAGGAGGGGGGTGGAGAGGAGAAGGGGGGAAATAGCTTCACTGGAAAATTCTAGCAAAAACATTTAAATAAGAATTACCATTAATCCTTCATAAACTTTTAAAAAAAATAGGAGATGAGGAAGCACTACCCGACTTATTCTAAGAAACCATGATGCCTAAAACTAGACAAGGATATCACAAGAAAACTATATATCAATATATCTTATGAATATAAATATAAAAATCCTCAACAAAATACTAGCAAACTGAAGATCTCAAAAGACCATGTGGGATTTATTTTGGGAATGCAAAAGTGGTTCAACATATGGAAATGTATTAATCAACATATCAGTCAATGTATTATACTATGTTATTAAAATAAAGGAGAAAATCACATGATCATCTTAATGAACATAGAAAAATCATTTGACAAAATCCAACAATGTTTCATGATAAGAACACTCAACAAAACTAGGACTATAAGGGAACCTCCTCAACCTGATAAAGAGAATTTACAACAACCCCACAGCTAATATTATATTAATACTTCATGATGAAAGACTGATTGCTACCTCTAAGATAAATAAAAAGGTAGAGATATGCATTCTCACTACTTCTATTCGACATTGTACTGAAGGTTCTAGCCAGGTCAATTAGGCAAGAAAAAAAGGCATCTAGATTGGAATGGAAGAAGTAAAAGTAACATTGTTCAGGTTCCATGATTTTGTATATAGAAAAAACCCAAAGGAATCCACAAAAAATCTAGAATGAATATGTTCAGCAAGGTTACAGGATACAAGATCAATATACAAAAATATCAACTGTATTTCTATATACTGGCAACAAATGACCCAAAAATGAAATTGAGAAAATAATTCCATATATGATAATATTAAAAAGATTAAAATACTCAAAGGAAAAACATCTGTGCTCATGGATTGGAAGAGTTAATATTGTTTATATACAATACCCCCTAAGTTGATATACAGATTCAATGCAATAACTATCAAAATTTCAGCTGGCATTTTTTCTCTGTTTTTAAGAAATTGACAAGCTGATCCTAAAATCCATATGGAAATGCAAGGGACCCAAAAGAGCCAAAACAATCTTACAAAAGAGGAACAAAGTTAAAGCACTCATACTTCCTGATTTCAAAACTTACTACATAGCTACAGTAATCAAGATAGTGTGGTACTGGCATAAGGGTAGAAATATAAATCAATGGGATATAATTGAGAGTCCAGAAATAAACCCTAACATTTATTGTCAATGTTTTTCAGCAAGGGTGCCAAAGCACCTTTCACATGTACTGAGATAGCTGCAATCAAAGAGAGACAATAGGAAGCATTGTTGTCAAGGATATGGAGAAATTGCAACACTCATACATTGCTGCTGGGAATGTGTAAAATGGTACAGTCTCTTTGGAAAATAGCTTGGCAGTGCCCCAAATTGTTAAACATAGAATTATCACATAACCCAGCAATTTCACTTCAAGGTACATATATATCTACAAAATCAAAACTAATGTCCACACAAAAACTTGTACACAAATACTCACAGCAGAATTATTCATAACAGCCAAAATATGAAAACAACTCAAATGCCTATCAGCTGTTGAATAGTTTAACAAAATGTAGTATATTCATACAATTGAATATTATTCAACCATAAGAAAAAATGAAGTACGGAACTTTGAAAACAATATGCTGAGTGAAAGAAGGCAGACATAAAAGACCACATGTCATTCCATTTAGATAAAATATCCATAATAGGCATATTCACAGAGATAGAAAGTAGATTAGTGATTGCTCGGGTTAGGCATATATAGGTCCTCTTTTTGGGGTAATGAACATGTTCTGGAATTAGATAGTGGTGAAGGTTTGCCAACTTTGTGAATACACTGAAAACTACTAAAAGGGTAAAATTTTTGGTGCATGAATTTTATCTCAACATAGATAGATGATAGATAAAGACAGATAGACAGAAAGACAGGTAAGCAAGCTAACCAGCCACAATGTGTCTTTATGTCTCACATGGGTTTTTGATCAAAAGCAATAAAACTTGCTTATCATATTACATTCAAATTCTTTTCCCAGGCTTTATAAAAAATTCTCCATGATTCCGTCCCACACACTTATTTATTTATTTTTTGATTCCATTATGAACCTAGCCAGTCTTATCTCTAAGGCAGGCTTACTCTCACTTGAATGGTATTGTTCATAGGTACCTTAACTCGGAATAACTTTGTTACTGTCCTCCATGTTTCTAACTTTGCTCTCATCTTTTAGAAGTCAAAATCAAGTCAAAACCTACTTAGAAACTATCTTTAAACTACTGTATATATAATAGATAACATCATAGGCTCTCTGAAGGTAAGCTCCTTGAGAAAAGATCCATTACGATTCTTTTGTACCTTTCAGAGATTCTAAAATATGCTAAAAATACTTGCAATTTAAATGGTCCACTCATTTAAATTGTTTTTCAAAAAAATCTCTATTGATAAGTTTCAATGTATAGAGACTATTGATATGTAATCATTATGGGTGCTCAACCCATTATAAATGAATGTCCAATACAGAGTGCTATCTATCTACCATAATTCAATCTCCCCCTCTTCTATAATGGCTGCACATATGTCTGCTCAGCCACACAACATTTCACAGACTTCCCTGTGAATATGTATATCCACACAACTAAGACCTTCCAATAGAATGTGGCTGAAGTGATACGTACTCTTGTCAGGCCTTGCCCATAAAATCTTCCATAATAGTTTCTCCATGCTCTCTCCCTGTTCCTGAGTGCTAGTGGCAATGAAAACGTACCTTGGAAGCCTTGTTTTGAAGATAACAAAGTCTGCTGTTAGCCTACAGCCTAAGTCTCTGAATAATTTCATGGAGAAGAGCTGTTTACCAACCTGAACACTCACTTTCCTCTGCTTCTTTAAGAAACAGACTTCTGTTGTTTCAGCTATTACCTATTTGTTTGTGTTAGCAGTCTAGCCTACCCTAGAGTTAGAACAACTTGCAAGACAGTGATACAATTTAAAATTTACCTCTCATGTTGAAAAACTCTGAAACTGAGAATCTGGCAACATTGTGAAACTTTAAAATTTTGGTTTTAAGGACTTAAAGCATATTTATGACAAATTGTTTTATGTTACTGCTTTAATATAAAAGTAGTAGAATATTGAAGTAATACTGTCTGGCACTCGGCATTAAATCTGCTTAATACACTTTGCTCCTAAATATTTTTTTCCAATGATTCCTCCACTGCTCCACTGCCTACATAATAAAATTCAAATTCCTGACCTATCCCAATCTACCTTATTGATTTTTTTCTCCAACTACTTTGCTTCATTCACCCTACACTTCTACTAAACAGAACATAGTACTATATACATTTCTACTATATACACTTCTACTAAACAGAACATAGTACTATATACATTCTACATTTACTTCTATCTGTGTTGGGTTACACTGATCCCTTCTCCTAGAATTCTCTTATTTTTTATTTTTTTACATAAAATGTTCTCAACTTTTGCTCCCAAAGGTGTTTCTCTGTCAAACACTTTCATTCATTGAAAGAAAACAACTTATGATGCATCTTTAAGAAAGCATGCTTACATTAAGAAACACGTTATAACAACATATTCTCAGTGTTTGCTTCCAAAGGGGTTTTCTCCGTCAAACACTTTCATTCATTGAAAGAAAACAGCTTATGATGCATCTTTAAGAAAGCATGCTTACATTTGCCTTTTAAAGCTGGATATGTAAACTTGTCATAATAAGTACCAATACAGAAAGAAACATGTAATAACATGGTCTCAACAGTCATTTCCAAAGGTGTTTCTCTGTCAAACACTTACATTCACTGAAATGAAATAGCTTATGATGCATCTTTAAGAAAGCATCCTGGATATGCAAACTTGTCATAAGTACCAATGTAGAAAGAAACTCAATATTTGCTTAAAAAATATTTCCTTCCATCTTCAAATATTTCCTTCATCTTCATATGTCCATCTCATATGTCACCAATTTTTAAAACCTGCAAATGCTACCTCTTCCACAAAGCCTTCTCTATTCTCCCAGATGAAAATAATTTCTCTTTATTATAATCCTGACAGGACTTACATTTCTCTAAGTTTGTCTCACTTGTTTTTCAGTTTCCAAATGAATATGCTTTAACACCTACTAGTCTCTATACTTTTAAGGTCAGGATCCTTATCTGATACATCTTTTTATAGCCTTAAGTACCTAAAATAGTATATTTTACAAGTAGGAATTCAATAAACATTTAGTAAATGAAAAAAAAATGAAATATCAAGTCTCCTATATTCCCACTATCATCCTACTTACATTAATACAATTTGTTATTAACCTCACCCCAACCTCTGTCCTTATCACAATTTCCAAATTAGTAGAGCTGAATTGATGTGATTTTATCATTTGGAACATGTGCACAATTGGATTCATAGTGAAGTCATACCTGGCAGTATCCAATTTTGGGATTCCTGTATGCATAAGCAGTAAGTACCCGCCTCAGAGCAGATATACCAGTGTCACTTTGAAAGGCTGGGTGCTCAGGCAGAGAGCGACGCAAATCACGTTCAATTTCGTCAGTAGCCAAGTTGGAGGTCCCTAAGGACTGCTCAACCACTTCTGCATAATAGCCAGGATTAGTAGCCATGTCATTAACAGCACCTGTGAAGATGATGGCATTAACATACAACAGAAGAGGAATATATTAATAATACAGCTACTATTTGCATATATACATGAAGAATTGGATTTCATTACCTTGAAATTTAGCTTTATGCTCAAGTGATATCTGAGCACAACAGAAAAGAATAAACTTGGTAATGAAATGGGGGCAAAAAACATATAAAGAAAAGAGCTTTACAATAGAATCTATAACATCAAGGTACTAATCTTATTCAACAGAATAACATTTTCATGAGCTGTTCTCCCCCTCAATTTTGCTTTGATACTAGAGATAGAGATTTTCCTCACATTACACATATCTTGTCTAATAAATTAATCTTCTCAGATACTGGATGTGTGGATATATAGACAAGTACACATAATTACTTACCTCTCTCTTTGACTAGTCTGAACTCAAGATGAATGAGACTTTGTCCTAGCCATTTTTGTAATTCTTTGCCATTGACTTAGTGTACTGTCTGTTAAATGAATAAAGTGGGCCGGGCGCTGTGGCTCACGCCTGTAATCCTAGCTCTTGGGAGGCCGAGGCGGGCGGATTGCTCAAGGTCAGGAGTTCAAAACCAGCCTGAGCAAGAGCGAGACCCCGTCTCTACTATAAAATAGAAAGAAATTAATTGGCCAACTGATATATATATAAAAAATTAGCCGGGCATAGTGGCGCATGCCTGTAGTCCCAGCTACTCGGGAGGCTGAGGCAGAAGGATCACTCAAACCCAGGAGTTTGAGGTTGCTGTGAGCTAGGCTGACGCCACGGCACTCACTCTAGCCTGGACAACAAAGCAAAAAAAAAAAAAAAAAAAAAAAAAAAAATGAATAAAGTGAATAAATGTAATACCTGAAAAAAGCATCCAGAGCTCTCCTCTTAAAGTCTCTGGAATCCCTCTAACAACCAGATCTCGAGTCCTTTTGGTCCGAAACATGCTAACACCACGCCCACATTCTGCAAATAGGATGTTCCATGACTGTTCCTTCATCTTTTCTTTCAACTGTAACAGAAAAATCAAAGCAACTAAACCTGACGAGAAATTAACTTCTTTAAAATAACTTGTCTATCCTCTTTACCCTAAAGCAACATCTATGGAAATCAAGAACATAGAAAATGAAAATCAATATTCACACAGGGTGACACTGGACCCTTGTCATCACAAAAATCTCTTAAACCCATGTGAGCATAATAGCCTTAATTTACTATTATAATTCTTAGCTCAACTGTTATAAAAATGGTAAAAGCATTATATTTAGGAAGTAAAGCTTTAAACCATCATTCTCTCCAAATTGCCTCTATTTTAGGATAGATTATTAGAAATCCATGCAAATAAAACCCAATGTCAATAAATATGTACAATTATTATGTATCCATAAAAAACCCCAATGTCTAACTTTTACATTTTATATTCATTCTTGATAACAGTCCTTGTGTGTAGTGGAACCAATAAGTCACACATTGGTACTTGTTGGAAAACCTTTTCAAGTCTCAAAAGAAGGGTTTCCAGTTGTGGGACCTTCTAGTGTACTTTAAGATTTTAATTTTTCATCAGCAGTTTCAGTCCATAGATTTAAATATTTTGCTTTCCTACCATTTTAGAATTAAGATTCTCCAAATTCTGAGGGTGAAATACTGTCATTAAGGCTTCAGTGTTCACAGTTTTACTGCATTCTTTCTGACATGTCAAAGATTGCACCTCAAAATTATCAGATGGTCCTGTAGAATCAGAACTAATAGCAGGCTGAAAAAGAAAGAATATAATTATCCCAAATGTATGCTTAAAAGTTTCTGCAAGAAAAAAAGTGCTAATGTTTTATCTATTGTTTATAAACCACAACATATATACATATCAGATATTGAAGCCATGTCTCAGAGAGACATCGTTTTCCTACCAAAATTAGAGATATCAAAAAACTGACTTCTAAAATGGCAAACTCAGAACCTCCATGAACACGCTCCTCAACAAAAACAACAAAATACTGGCAAAACATTCAAAATAAATCATTTCAGAATACTGAAGTTAACCAAAGGCACAGAACAAACTGTAAAGCATCTATTCAAGAAAAACTAATGAATTTCAGTAAGAACAGCAGAGTCTGTGGAGTTTTAACTTTTAACTATTCCCATCTTACCACCCTCCCTCCAAAGTTCAGAAATGTAGTAGCCATGAAAGCCAGCAGTATGACAGCCAGTATATCTTTTGCAGCTTCATTAAAAGCCCTATCCCCAGAGCACAGTCAATACTTTGATCAAACTAGCAAATAAAAACAAACAAACAAACAAAAAAAAACTAGCAAATCCCTGGAGAACTCTGTTCCAAGGGTGTCATTATCATTTGATTTGATTCACGGCTCAACTTAGTGAAAAAAAGCTCTGTTCCCTGGGCATTATAGGAAATAGCAATCTGCTGGTAACATCACAACTGCCTAAAGCTATGATTTTAGCCTGGGCAAACAAGAGCCCAGCTAAAAATTTAAAGCAAAGACCTGAAAAGCCAGAAGACCACATGGAACTTTGAAAGGCTCCAACATATTACTAGGAATCTAGAAGCATGCACATAGGTGCAAGGCTGTGAGCATGTCCAGGAAAGAAATGGCAACAAAGGCCCCAGTCACTCAACTCTGGCTGTCTCTGAAAGAAGGAAATGAAAGCTAAAGCTGATTTGTAAATTGCTTGAAGTTTGAGGTATACTTTCATGCAAAGATTCCCTTGGAAAAAAGATGGAAGACTTAATGGCATAAGACATTTAAGGAAATCTTCTGAACCATCATTGAATAACCACTAAATTATACTGACTCGGGGGTGATCCAAGTAAGCCAGGCTTAAAAATAAAAACAAGAACTTAAAAACAAAAGCAACTAACAGAAAATGTCCCTGGATTCATAAAGCAAACCTTACTGGAGCTAAGCAAATGGATTAATAGCAACTCCATAATCACCGGAGATTTCAACACCCCACTGACGGCACGAGACAGATCCTCTAAACAGAAAATTAATAAAGAAATAACGAGCCGGGCGCGGTGGCTCACGCCTGTAATCCTAGCACTCTGGGAGGCTGAGGCGGGCGGATTGCTCGAGGTCAGGAGTTCGAACCCAGCCTGAGCAAGAGCAAGACCCCCTCTCTACTATAAATAGAAAGAAATTAATTGGCCAACTAATATATATATATAAAAAAAATTAGCCGGGCATGGTGGCGCATGCCTGTAGTCCCAGCTACTTGGGAGGCTGAGGCAGCAGGATTGCTTGAGCCCAGGAGTTTGAGGTTGCTGTGAGCTAGGCTGACGCCATGGCACTCACTCTAGCCTAGGCAACAAAGCGAGACTCTGTCTCAAAAAAAAAAAAAAAAAAAAAAAAAAAAAGGATCCAATAAAAAGTGGGCAAAAGATCTAAACGGACACCTAACCAAAGAAGATACAAATGACAAATAATCACATGAAAGATGGTCAACATATGTCATTAGGTAATTGCAAATTTAAACATTGCACACCTATTAAAATGGCTAAAACCCCAAATATTGACAACACTAAGTGCTCACAAGGATATGGAGCAACAAATCTCATTCATTGCTGATGGGAATGCAAAATGGGACAGCCACTTTGGAAGATGGTTTGGCAGTTTCTTACAAAGCTTAAACATAGTCTTACCATATGATACAGCCATTGTGCTCCTAGATATATATGCAAATGAGTTGAAAACTTATATGTCCACACAAAAATTTTCACATGAATGTTTATAGTAGCTTGTTCATTAATTGCCAAAAATTGGAAGCAAACAAAGTGTCCTTCACTAGGTGAATGGATAAATACTGTGGTACATCTAGGCAATGGAATATTTTTCAGCAATAAAAAAGAAATGAGCTATCAAACCACAAAAGACATGGAAGAACCTTAAATGCATATTGCTAAGTGAAAGAAGTGACTGCGAAATGAATACAGATGGTATTACAACTATATAACATTCTAGAAAAGGCAAAATTATAGATAGTAAAAAGATCAGTGGTTGCCAGGGGTTGAGGGGAGGGAGGAATAAGTGGAGGACAGGAGATTTGTAGGGCAGGGAAACTATTCTGAATGATACTATAATGATGGATATATGATATTATGCATTTGGAAAAACCCATAGAACTGTACATAACAAAGAATGAAACCTAAAGTAAACTTTGGACTTTAGTTAATAATAATGTCTTAATATCATCTCATCAATCATAACAAATGTACCACATCAACGCAAGATGTTAATAACAGAGGAAACTGTGAGCAGGGTAGAGGGTGGGTAGGAGTATATGGGAACTCTGTATTTTGTTTAATTTTTCTATAAACCTAAAACTGCTCTAAAAATAAAGTCTTTTTTTAATTTCAGCATATTATGGGGGTACAAATGTTTAGGTTATGTGTGTTGCCTGCCCCCCTTCCCCTCCAGAGTCAGAGCTTCAAGCGTGTCCATCCCCCAGACGGTACGCATGGCACTCATTATATGTGTATATACCCATCCCCTCCTATCTCCTCCCATCTACCCAACGCCCGATAAATGTTAGTCCTATATGTCCACTTAGGTGTTGATCAGTGAAACCAATTTGCTGGTGAGTACATGTGGTACTTATTTTTCCATTCTTGGGATACTTCACTTAGTAGAATGGGTTCCATCTCTATCCAGGAAAATACAAGAGGTGCTATATCACCATTGTTTCTTATAGCTGAATAGTACTCCATGGTATACATATACCACATTTTATTAATCCACTTGTGTATTGATGGGCATTTGGGTTGTTTCCCCATCTTTGCCATTGTGAATTGTGCTGCTATAAACATTTGAGTGCAAATGTCTTTTTTATAGAGTGTCTTTTGTTCTTTTGGGTAGATGCCCAATAATGGGATTGCTGGATCAAATGGGAGATCTACCTGAATCCCTTTAAGGTATCTCCATATTGCTTTCCACAGAGGTTTGCACTAGTTTGCAGTCCCACCAGTAGTCTAGGAGTGTTCCTATCTCTCCACATCCATGCCAACATTTATTGTTTTGGGACTTTTTTATACAGGCCAATATCACTTCTCACTGGAGATAAGTGATATCTCATTGTGGTTTTGATTTGCATTTCCCTGATGATTAGAGATGTTGAGCATTTTTTCATATGTTTGTTGGCCATTATTCTGTCTTCTTTTGAAAAGTTTCTGGTCATGTCCTTTTGCCCACTTCTTGAAAGGGTTGTTTGATTTTTCCTTGCTGATTTTCCTGAGTTCTAAATAGATTCTAGTTATCAGCCCTTTATCGGATGTGTAGCTTGCGAAAATTTTTTCTCGGTCTGTAGGTTGTCTGTTTGCTCGCGTAACAGTTTCTTTGGCTGTGCAGAAGCTTTTTAATTTGATCAAGTCCCATTTATTGATTTTTGTTGTTGCTGTGATTGTTTTCTTCATAAATTCTTTGCCTAAGCCAATGAATTACTAGAAATACTAGAAGAGTATTTCCAACATTTTCCTCTAGAATTCTAATAGTTTCACACCTTAGGTTTAAGTCTGTTACCCAATGGGAGTTGATTTTTGTGAGAGGTGAAAGGTGTGAGTCCTATTTCAGTCTTCTACATGTGGCTATCCAGTTTTCCTAGCACCATTTATTGAATAAGGATTCTTTTCCCTAGTGTATGTTTTTGTCTGCTTTGTCAAAGATCAGATGGCTATATGAGGATGGTTTCATATCTGGGTTCTCTGTTCTGTTCCACTGGTCCATGTCCCTGTTCTTGTGCCAGTGGAAAGCTGTTTTAATTACTATAGCCTTGTTGTATGGTTTGAAATCTGATAAATTGATACCTCCCATTTTGTTTTCATTGTCTAGGATTGTTTTTGCTATACAGGGTCTTCCCTGGTTCCATATGAAGCATAAAATTATTTTTCTATATCTGTGAAAAATGATGATGGTATTTTAATAGGGATTGCATTGACTCTGTAGATCACTTTGGGTAGTACAGACATTTTAACAATGTTGATTCTGCTGACCCACGAGCATGGTATGGTTTTCCACTTGTTTACGTTACGTGTTCTGCTATTTCCTTCCTCAGTGTTTCATAGTTCTCCCTGTAGAGGTCTTTTTCCCCCTTAGTTAAATATATTCCTAGGTACTTTATTTTCTTTGTTGCTACTGTGAAGGGAATTGAGTCTTTGATTTGGTTCTCAGTTTGACTGTTATTGCATATATGAATGCCTCTGATTTGTGTGTATTGATTTTCCCTCTTATGATAAGAATGCTTAACAAAATAGGCATAGACGGGGCTTACCTAAAAATGATATAAGCCATATATGACAAACTCACAGCCAACATCATACGGAATGGGGACAAACTGAAAGCATTCCCACTTAGAACTGGAACAAGGCAAGGTTGCCCACTATCTCCACTTCTATTCAATATAGTGCTGGAAGTCCTTGCTATAGCAGTAAGACAAGAGAGCAGAATTAAGAGCGTGCAAAAGGGGGCAGAAGATATCAAACTCTGAGTCTTTGCTGATGATATGAAAAAGTCTATTAAATAAAGAAAGGAAAGTATAGTAACTACCTCCCATCAAATAGAGAATATTGATAAAGAGATAGGAATTACTTTTAAAATAACCAAATAGAAATTCTGGAACTAAAGATGGAAGACTAGAAGCAGCCTCCCTCCACATGCTGCTTTCATGGAGAGGATTGAAAGTGGTAATTAGATACTCACCTTCATCATCCTGTCTAAGAGAGAGTGTTGGGAATCAACAGAGAGGCAA